GCCTCCTCGGGCAAGCCACCCTGCTAAATTATGTGTTTGTCCTTCCTTTGCTTTAATTTACATAGTTGCCTAAGAGTTTTTGTTTGCTTGTTTTAACATGGATAAAAAATAAGTTGTATAGAATAATTTATCTGCAACCATTCATATTAGCATGTGTTTGCTCTCTATTAATATGTAATTTAGTGAATTGTAATCATTTGATTTTCTAAAGTTAGACCATCCTGTGTTCTGAGAGTAAACTCAATTCATTTAAATAATACATTATTATTTAAAAATAATACATTATTTAAACAAATTTTGTTTAAATAATACATTATTCAAATAATAATAAAATAATACATTATTTTATTATTATAAATAATAAAATAATGATGATAAAATAATAATTAATAATAAAATAAATAATAGTAATAATACATTATTTAATACATTATTTAAATGTATTTAATCATAATATGTTATATTCTGCGCATTGCTGGATTACATTTTTATACTTTTTTGCAGAGTTTTGCTTCTACATCCATGAGTGAAGTTTTTTTTTTCATTTTTTATCTCTTGTATCATCCTTATATAGTTTGCTATATAAAATATATATTTTTTCCATGGAATGAGGCCACCAAATTTTTTGGGGGGTGTGTTTTTCCTTGTTTCAAGTTTTTGAAAGTGTGCCTTACACTGGAATTGCGTTTTTTAGGCGTTTATTAATATTCACCTATAAAGTCATCTGGGTCAGGCTTTTGGGTAAGATTTTAAAGTTGGTGAACTAATTTCTTTAAGGGCTTTACAATGACTGAATTTCTATTTCTTCCTCAGTTTGTTTTGGTAAGTTCCTTTTTTTTCTAATAATTTGACCATTTTGTCTAAATCTTCAAATGTGACACCAACTTTTTTTGTACTAGTTTACTATTTTTTTATATCTCTGAATTTTTTTAATTCCTAACATTTCTGTTGTCATCTTTCTCTTCTTCTTCCTCATCCTCCTTCCTCTTTCTTCTTTCTTTTAGTTCAACCAGGCCAGATCAATTTATCAATTTTAACTCACTTCTTTGAAAACCTTAATTTTGGCATTGCTGATCTTTTTTATTTTATTCGTGTTTTCTATTACATTAATTTCCAGGCTTATTCTTATTATTTTGTTTCTTCTGCTTTCTTTAAATTAATTCTATTTTAAAATAATTTCTCATGATTGCTTAGCTCAGCAATATTCAGCCTTTCTCAGTTTCTAATTTAAGCATTTATGACTTCAAATTCCCTCTAAGCCTCTTTTAACCGTTTGTTTTAGTGAAGTTGGTAACGTGGATTTTATTATTGCTTGATCCTAAACATTTTCTGTTTTGCATTATGATTTTCTCCTTGATTGATGAGTTATTTAAAAGTGTTTCTGGATTTTCTAAATTTTTAAAACATTACCTTTTAGCTAAAGATATCTTTATTAATTGAATTGTGGTCAAAAATATGTGTTTAAGATCAGTTCCTTAAAATTGGTTGAGACTTGATTTATGGGCTAATTCATGATAAATTATTGTAGTGTTTCTTGCATAACCAAAACTAATTTGTATACCTTATTTGGAACGTAGAAATCTATATGTTCAGTAGATCAGCTTTCTGTATTGCTTAAATTAATCATATCTTTAATGCTTTTGGTCCATTTTATCTGTCAATTATTGAGATATATATATATTTAACAACTCACAATAGTGGAGAATTCGACAGTATCTCTTTGTAAGTATGACAAATTCCCCTTTATCTTATTGAAGCTATGTTATCAAGTTTTAAACTTTAGAATTTTTTCCACCCGGGGAGTTAAACCTCTTATCATTATTAAATGATCTCTTTTGTCTATCATAAGGTTTTTTTGCCCTCAAATCTATTTTACATTTTATAGAGAGAGATATTCCAACTCTTTTTGCTTAATATTTGCTTAAAATATATTTTTCTATTCTTTTTCTTTCAACTATTCTTTCTTAATGTCTTAGGTATGTCTCTTATAAAAAGCACAAACATAGATTTTGTTTCTTTTATCCAATAGATTTTGGTTTTTTAAATCCAATCTCACAACTTCCCTTTCAACTGGGTTTATTTCATTGATATATTTAAATTTACTCCTGTCATCAGTTTTTTAACTTTCTATTTTTTCTGGCTTTTCTGTTTCTTTTTTCTCTTTCTTGCCTCTTTTCAATTGATTAAATTACCTTTTCTTTTTTTTTTTTTTTTTTTGAGATGGAGTTTCCCTCTTGTCACCTAGGCTAGGGTTCAATGGCATGATCTCAACTCACTGCAACCTCCACCTCCCAGGTTCAAGTGATTCTACTGTTTCAGCCTCCTGAGTAACTGGGACTAGAGGCGCGCCCGCCACCATACCCGGCTAACTGTTTTATATTTTTAGTAGAGATGTGGTTTCACAATGTTGGCCAGGCTGGTCTTGAACTCTTGACCTCAGGTGATCCGCCCGCCTTGGCCTCCCAAAGTGCTGGGACTACAGGTGTGAGCCAATCTGCCTGGCGGATTAAATTTCTTAAGTCCCAACTTTCCCCCCTCTAGTTTTGAAGGTATAGGCTGTACTTTTCTTCTGTTGAGTAGTTCCTTTGAAATCAGAACATGAATACTTAAACCTAACAAACTCTACATTTACTATCTTTATAACCTTCCCAAATATGCAAAGAGCTAAGAATGTTTTAACGCCTATCAGCACTTCCACTTTACCAGCTATTATTTTTGAACCCCACAAGTTACACTTCGTTATTTATTTGTATAGTTTTCACCAGCAGTATGTGTTCAGGTTTACCCAACAGTTTGTCTTTTACTTTACTGTGTTTTTTGTATCTCAGACTTTCTTTTTCAGATCACTTTCCTTCTTTTTGAAGACATGCTAAGGAGTTCCATTATTAAGAGTTTTTTGATGTTAAACTTTTTAAGTGTGTATCTAAACAGCCTCTATTTCATCCCCATGTTGAAAAACAGTCGTGGCAGAGAAAGTCAGTGAATATCCATGTGACTCTCTATATTTCCCACTCTCCCTTGCAGTTAGTTTGGGACCTTGTGACTTATTCTGGTCAATGAACTATGACTAGAAGTGATACGTTTCACTACTAGACAAAGGCAGCTGGGACCTGTGCTCCTGCGCATCCCCTTTCCCTTCTGCAGTGATCTCACATGTCCCTACAGCACTGGATGCTGCAGCTACAGAGGGCGGCACTCTCTCAGCCTGTCCCTACTAATGGTGTAAGCAGAGCTCCACACAACCCATACTGGATGTGTAACGTGAGAGGTTTCAGAGTTAATTTTTGACTAACATGAGAGGCCACAGAGGTTTCAGAGTTAATTTTTTACCAAAGCATAATGTAACATATTCTGACCAATAATTTTAATGGGTAAATAATTCTATTTGAGAGTTACCCTCTCAGTACGTTAAAAATATTTTCCCACAATCTTCTGTTTTATGGTTTTTGTTGCTGAGAAGTCAGCTATCTAATTGCCATTCCTTTATTGGTAATTTTATTCTCTCTTCAGCTAATTTTAATGTCATCTCTTTGTCTTTGGCATTCTGAAGTTTTCTAACAATGTGTTTAGGGGTGTGTGAGTGTATGGGGGTGTGTGTGTGTCTCAATTTATCTGTCTTACTAGGGATCTTTCGGGGTTTTGGAATCTGAGGTTATCTTTCATCAGTTCTAAAAATGTCTCATTCATTGTCTCTTCAGTTATTGCCTCATCCTCTCCTCTGTTATCGCCTCTTAAAAACTCTGGATACAGACGTTGAAGCGTGTCACTCTGTCCTCCAAGTCCCTCAGCCTCTCAGCCATATTTGCCAGCCCATCTCCTTGTGCTGCATTCTGTGTAAGGTCTTCTGGTCTATAATTCCCATTCGCTAATTCTCTCTTTGGCTGTGGTCTTGTCTACTGTTAATTCTTCCACTGACTTTTTAATTCCAATCTGTTTACGTTTTTATTTATATAAGTTCTATTTTGTTATTTTTCAGATGTGATAGACATTTTTATGGCCTTTCTCTTCTTCCTTGCATTTATATTTCCATTATATATTTTAGTTTTAAATTTATCCTTGCATTTAAAAGATTTATATATTTTATTACTCAAGTTAAGTTCTTTAGAGTAGAAGTCTGCTCTCTATACTTTTACTTGTATTTTTATTATTTCAGATTGTTTATACTTGGGATATAAGGAAAATATCCCTGGGTCCTTCCCTGTCCCTAGATGTCTGATACCGCTTCCCTTTAGAATATTCACTATTGTAAGTAAACCAACATCACCTTATATTTGCTGTTTAATATATATTTCTCTTGTCAGTGAGCTTGTCTTCAATTGGTCATCCTTCTACAATGTTTATGATTCTTTCTAATGCTTAGAGACTTATCCCTCTTTCCATATTTCTAGACTGCTACTGTGTTTTGGAGAATGTCCAAAAGTTTGACCTTTGGATAAAGGGATGAGGCTGTGCAAACTTTTGCTTCTTAATGCCATCTGCCTGGGAATAAAAATCTCTAGACAGGAAAAATAAAGGAAGGAAGAAATGAGGACAATTTTTGGAAAAATCTAAATGCATCCTTCCCACTAAGAGGACATGAGGGCAGATATCCTGTATTCCAGTAATGACTTTTCAATGACGAGGGGTGGTATCCACAAAAATTTGGTTTCCTTATCCATACGCTGCTATAAATCTTGGCATATCAACTACCTAAAATTATCATGCATTTCTAACTGATTTATAGCTAATAATATATGTCACTCCAACTCTTAGAGTAAGTATAGGTATCACCCGTTTTGTAAACTTTCTAGATTAAATCATCTCAGTAATGTTCATTTACTACATATGATAAAATAGATCCCACACTGTGGAAGAAGAAAAGGAAGAATAAGAAGAGGAAGAATAAGAAGAAGAGGAAGAAGGAGAAGAACGAGGGGGAGGAGGGGGAGGAAAAGAAAGAGGGGAAGGAGGGGAAGGAGAAGAAGGAGAAGAAGAGAAGAAGAAGCAGAAGCAGCAGCAGAAGAAGAACCAATAACCCTGGACTTGTTTTAAAATATGCACTTCGCCCTTCTCCACATCTAGTGTGATGACTAACAGCTCAAGTGTGAACCTCAGGTGTCCCAATGTTCTCAAGGATGTCAACCTCACCAATATTTGCAGGTTTAAAATTTAAAGCAAATGGATCTATCCTCAATATCAGCACATAAAACCTACTTCAGTCACTTATCAAACTTTCTACTGTCCAACACATACCAAATCTTGATTGAGAGAGGTAACATTTATAAAACATTGTTGACTGAAATGCAGTTTATCTGTATTAGTTTCGAAAGGCTGCTGTAATAAAGTACCACAAACTGGGTGGCTTAAAACAACAGAAATTTATTCTCTTCCTTAAAAGTAAAATTACATAACATAAATCATAACATTTTGATGACAATAAACTGGAACAAGAATCATATTTGCTCTCCAAACTAAGAGATGGGAAGAGAAAAGAGAGAATTTAAGTAGACTGATTTCATCATTTCATCCTCATTGCATTTCTAAAGTTAATTGAAAAATAAAAATGTAAGCATATTATTTAAAACAGACTTTACAACTCCCCAATTGCCAGAGTGTGGTAGGTAGCCTTCTTAAATAGCTCCCAATTGGCCCCACTTCCTGGCATTCATGCCCTTGTGTTAGTCTAGACCTAATGACTTGCCCTTACCAAAAAGAATGTGGCAAAAGTGATAGGATTTCCCTTCTGAAGTTGGGCTATAGAAGGCCAGGACTTCTGTCTTGCTTACACTCTTACTGTGACTCTTCCCGCATACCACTTGCTTTGATAAAGTCAGCTGCCATGTTGTGAGCTACCCTGTGGAGAAGCCCATGTGGCAAAAACTGAGACCTTCAGTTGAACAGCCCAAAAGGAACCAAATCCTGCCTCCAACCATATAGGTGAGCCTGAAAGTAGATCCTCCCCAAATCTAGCCTTCAGGAGAGAAGAGCCCTGTCCATTACCTTGACTGCAACCATGTGAGAGACCCTAAAGCAGAGGATTCAACTAAGCCACACCAGGACTCCTGACCCACAGAAAGTCTGAGATAATAACTGTGTGTTGTTATAAGCTGCTAAGTTTTGGGGAGGTTTGTTACACAGCAATAAATAACTAATGACAAATATTTTCCTTGACCAGACTCTAGCCCTTCTCCTCTAAGCCCTCTTCTTGGTAAGGTATCAATCTTGGCCTATAAAGACTTGTACAAAAACTAATGTACTTTCTAACAATTCAGGGCCACATCCCTAGGTTGACATTAGCTCCTCTTAAAGTGCCTCACTGAGAAAGCTCAAGAATCCCAAAAAATGTGCTATCTGTTTGAGCTGACACCTGGCAGTATGCACCTGATCACCCTTTCTTAGACCATTTATTAAAAGGGCTTGCAATTGTGACTCCTTCCTCTGTCTCTTTGAGATGTACATGTATCTCTTACAACTCAGGAGTGTCTTTCTCATGGACCCAAAAGCCATTTATTTGAAATATAATCATCAAGAAGAATAGGGGCTCTGTCTCCCAGTCTGTAGAAAGATAGAATCCTAATGTTTGTAACTATCACCTACCAGAAACAGCTGGCCCTACCATTTTGTGATGTGCAACCCTTTGTAAACTTTCACTTCTCTGACTCTCCTGAGCCCTCACTCACTCCCTGTCCTACTCCTATTTTAGTTGGTCATCTCTATATAAATCAGAGTTCAGTTCATGCTGGATGCTTATCTCTATTCTCCAATTACTCTATTGTAGATTGTCTCTATTACTTACTGATTAAAGTCTGTCCTTGCCACTTTAGAGTCCAGCTTTGTTAATCTTTGACACTAAAATATAGAGGAAGATAAAAATAAAATCAAGACAAAACAAAAGCAAAGAAAGCACAGATCATAAAGCAAAAAAGAAAAAAAGAACAATGTGAATTCAAAAAATAAACACATGATCGAGATAAGGTTAAGCATATCTAATTCAAATAATTTCAAGTGGGATAGAAGAAGCTATTAAAAAGCATTACATGGAACAAAGAAAGTCACCTTATAATGGCAAATGACACAGCTCACAATGAAGAAAATACTAGTATAAATGCCTATGTATCAAACAACACGGCATTAAAATACATAAATCAAAACTTCAAGAAATAAGAGAAAACAACAAGATAAATGTTAGGAGACTTTAACAAATCTCTTTTTATTCTTGAACAATCAAGAAAAATACATATTATATGGAAGATGTGAATAACAATTATCAAAAAGATTGATGCGATAATATCTATTATATAATAGATGCTCAACAAATTTTTATTTACTATTTAACCTGAGAACCTGCAAAGAAAAAATACTAATATTTTAGGTACTCACGTGATATGGTTTGGATGTGTTTCCCTGCCCAACTCTCATGTTGAATTGTAATCCTCAATGTTGGAGGTGGGGCCTGGTGAGAGGTAACTGAATCACAGGAGTGGATTTCTCATGAATGGTTTCACATAATCCCACTGTCCTCACAATAGCGAATGAGTCCTGGTGAGATCTGGCTGTTTAAAAGTGTGGCACCCACTCTCTTCTGCTCTGGCCATGTGAGGTGCCTGCTGCCCCTTCGTCTTCCACTATGATTTTACTTACAGAGGAATCCCCAGATGCCAAGCAGATGCCAGCATCATGCTTTGCTTCCTACAAAGCCTGCAGAACCATGGGCCAATTCAACCTCTTTCCTTCATAAATTTCTTTACAGCAATGAAAGAATGGATTAATACCTCATGTAACATTTATGAAAAGAAGTCATAAGCACAGGATAAAAATTTAGACAATATATACCATTTAACAGGGATTATTTTAGGAATGGGTTTATTGGGAATTTTCACTTTCTACTTTAAGTTTCTGATTGTTTCAATTTTTTTTATCATACAGTGTATTTTCACAATAAATAAAAAAATCTTTAAACAACGTTGTACCCCCTTTTCTCCTTAGAATTTCCCTCAATATTACTAAATCATTCCATTTGCTTGCTTTCTTTTCTTTTTTTATTTTTTTGAGATGGAGTCTCACTCTCGCACCCAGGCTGGAGTGTAATGGCGCAATCTTGGCTCACTGCAACCTCCACCTCCCTGGTTCAAGTGATTCTCCTGCCTCAGCCTCCTAAGTAGCTAGGATTACAGGTGTCCACCACCACGCCCAGCTAATTTTTATATTTTAGTAGAGACAGGGTTTCAGTAAGTTGGCCAGGCTGTTCTCGAACTCCTGGCCTCAAGTGATCTGCCCGCCTCAGTCTCCCAAAGTGCTGAGATTACAGGCATGAGCCACCGCGCCTGGCCTCTTTCTTTTCTTATAGGAAGAAACTGTACCACTTTTCTTCCAAAGATCAAGAATCAATAGTTCCTTCTTCTCTAGGAAAATATTACATCAGTTACACCCTCTGTTCTGAACTTTCACATTTCTGCATCTAGTGGCTTCTTCACTTCAGTGTACAAATATAGTTGTTTCCTATCCCCAATCCTAGAGCATCCTTTCACATTAAGGACCAAACTTTCTCCTGCCCTTCTTTGCCAGAATTCCCCATTTGCCAAATTTCTCAAAATTTCTCCATTTCCAGAATTTTAAATCTACCTCAGTCTATGTTCTAGAATACACTTTATTGAATCATCATTGTTTCTGGGCCTTTGTGCTTAGAGTAATTACCAGCTTGCCCCAATCCTCAACTGCATCAAAAGGGCTAAGTCCATCAAAAAGGTCAAGAGCAGAGGTAGAGAGGACTGCGCACTCTGAACAAGTCAGCCTACTCCTGGCAGGAGTAATGAATAAGCATTGGCCTGGGACTGAGTCCTCCTCTCCCCAGGCCTTCAACATTCCATCAACATGGATCAAGAGTCCAGCTGATTCTCAGACCTCTTCACTTCCATCCACAGAGTCAGGGAACTCAAACATTCATCAATACCCCCTACCCCCAACACTCACAACCTCTTCACCATTTTATTTCTTGCCTCCTCTTGGACTGATTTCATTATACCCTTTATCTCTGTTTATGTGAGTCACCACAAGAATTCCCAGGCTACTAACTAGGTCATCCCCCAAGTCACATTCCTATAAGGCCCTGAACATACTTTAACGTAACTCCATCTCCCATCCCTCCCCAACCGCTGAAACTCTTCCAACATGCACTATAGAATTCTTGATTTCTTTTCCACATCCACACCATCACTTTTCACTGCTACTGCTCTAGCTCAAGCCACTAGTATTTCTTGCCTGGATTACTACAATAGCATCTTGCCTAGTCTGCTTCCACCATTGCCTCTTAAGATTTATCCCTGATAGAGCAGCCAGAATAATCCTTTAAATCGATGCCTGACCATGTCACTCTTCCACTCCAAACTCTCCAACAGCTGCCCATTTCATTCAGAGTGAAAGCTGAAATTTCTTGCAATGCCCACAAGCCCTACATCATCTGTTGTCAGCCCAGGGGTTTTCCTGTCTTCCTTCTACTCAACCCCTGCCCATATCCAACCACACTGGCATCCTTGCTGTTTCTTTTCTCAGAAATCCACAAGGCCATTCTCTTACCAACTCCAGATCTTTCCTTGAGTATCACCTTCTCAATGAAGTTTACCCTGATCACTATATTTAACATTTCAACCCACACCCTCTCCTACATTCCCAACTGCCTTTATCCTCCTTTTATTTTTCACAGCATTTGTCACTTTCTAATATAGTAGAGAATTTACTTATTTTGTTTATGTTTATTATTTATCATCTGCCTCTCCCACATTACAATATTAACTCCATAAGGGCAATAAACTTTTTCTGTTTCATATATTGATGTATCTCAAGTACCCAGAATGAGTAGGAACTCCAGAGATATTTATTTACTGAAGGAATAAATAGTTCTCCATCTTGTCAATCTTAATGATCCCTTTTCATAACAAATATGAAACAATATGCTTTTTACTATTATGAAGCAGAAGACATAAGCTACCTGCATATGTAATTTTCTAAAATTAAAGCAATACCTTAACTATAATATAAAGTACAAAATAAAGTAATTTACCATAAAATGCTGCATGATCCGCCTGGTGCAATGGCTCATGCCTGTAATCCCAGCACTTTGGGAGGCTGAGGCAGGCGGTTTGCCTGAGGTCAGGAGTTCAAGACCAGCCTGGCCAACATGGTAAAACCCCTCTCTACTCAAAATACAAAAATTAGGAGGGCGTGGTGGCAGACACCCGTAATCCCAGCTACTCGGGAGGCTGGGGCAGAACTGCTTGTACCTGGGAGGCAGAGGTTGCAGTGAGCTGAGATAGCGCTATTGCACTCCAGCCTGGATGACAAGAGCGAGACTTCGTCTCAAAAAATACCAAACCAAGCCATAACAAAACCAAAAAAAAACCCTGCATGATCCAACATGCAACTGCTCAAGCATCCCTAAGCTAAAAGACACAATAGTCAGATACTTGTTCCACATGCAGAATCACCATGAAAGAGACAGTCACAAAATGAACTGTATTGGTGATACAAATTCCATAAATGATATTGCCATTCAATTTACTTCATTCCAGGAAAATTTGATATAACTTAAAACTGTGTGGAAAACAGTTTATGTTTATGTATAAAATAGATTCTAGGCTCAGATAATTATAAACAGATTTTTCATCTACATAAATGAGCCGAACAGTGAGACAACTAAGTCACACAGAATGCAGGACAATTCTTTGCTCTGCGTGACTGTCCTGGTCAACGGAGGATGTCTAGAATCTTTGACCCCACCAACTATATTCCAGTAGTGCCCACTCCCTCATATGGTTTGGCTCTGTGTCTCCACCCAAATCTCATCTCAAATTATAATCTCCATGTGTCAAGGGAGGCCAGTGATTGGATCATGCAGGCAGTTTCCCCCACGCTGTTCTCATGACAGTGAGTGAGTTCTCACGAGATCTGATGGTTTTATAACTGCAAGTTCCTCCTTCACAGCACTTCTCTCTTTCCTGCAACCTTGTGAAGAAGGTGTCTGCTTCCCCTGCCTCCATGATTGTAAGTTTCCTGAGGCCTCCCCAGCCATGTGGAACTGTGAGTCAATTAAATCTTTTTATAAATTACTCAGCCTTGGGTATTTCTTTACAGCAGTGTGAAAATGCACTAATACACTCCCCAATCACTGGGACAAGTAAAATCACTCTGGTAAATTTCCAAAAGAACCCCTGGAAGCAGTTCAATCCCAATAGTTTCTTGATCTATAAATCCAGAGGCCTCTTTTCTGTTGTCATTGGCTACCTCTCTGGAGCATTTAACCTGTTGAGAAGCTGCTCCTCATCTCTCCATCCTCCCTCGCATCCCATGTCACTATATCCCTGAAGCTTTCCTTTCCTCCTTAACCAATTCCTGCCTGCCATTATTATCTGACTTCTCACCTCCCCATGCTCACACCTGCTGTCCTTTCTTTTTCCTCTCCACATGCTCTTCAACTTTCTCTCCTAAGTAATCGACTCTCAAAGTCCCATTTCTACATGAAAAATCCAAATCCACATTTCCAACTTCCACTTGGTCATTCACTCAGATAAACCCTTAAGTTATGCATGTCCAGAATCAAACTGCAGGCCCCTCGGGAACATTGTGGGCTCAGTTCCAGATCACCACAATAAAACAAATATCACAATAAAGTAAGTCACACACATTTTTTTGTTTCCCAGTGCATATAAATGTTATGTTTACACTACATTGTAGTATATTCAGTATGCATTAGCATTAGATCTTCTAAAAAGTGCATATCTTAATTTAAAAATACTTTATTGCTTAAAAATGCTAACGATCTTAAAGTCTTTAGCAAGCTGTAATCTGTTTGCTGGTGGAGGGTCTTGCTTCATTGTTGATGGCTGGTGACTGATCAGGGTAGTCAGTTGCTGATGGTTGGCATGGCTGTGGCAATTTCTGTTGGCAAACAACAATAAAGTTTGCCACATCAATTGACTCTTCCCTTAATGAAAGACTTCCTTGTAGCATGTGATGCTATTGAACAGCATTTTAACCACAGTAAAACTTATTTCAGAATTGGAGTAAATCCTCTACAACTCTGATGCTGCTTTATCTGCTATGTTTATGAAATATTCTAAATTCTTTGTTGTCGTTTGAACAATGTTCATAGCATGTTCACCAGGAATAGCTTCCATCTCAAGAAACCACTTTATTTGCTCAATCATAAGAAGCACCTCCTCATCCATTCAAGTTTGATCACGAGATTGCAGCAATTCAGTTATATCTTCATGCACCACTTCCAGTTCTATTTCTCTTGTTATTTCTATCACATCTGCAGTGACTTCATCCATTGAAGTCTTGAACCCCTCAAAGTTACCCATGAGGCTTGGAATCAGCTTCTTCCAAACTCATGTTAATGTTATATTTTGACCTCCTCTCATGAATCATGAATGTTATTAATGGCATATAAAATGATGAATCCTTTCCAGAAGGCTTTCAATTATGATGCCCAGCTCCATCAGAGGAATCACTATCTGTGGCAGCCATAGCCTTATAAAAAAGATTTCTTAAATAATAAGAATTGAGAGTCAGATTTGCTGCTTGATCCATAGGCTGCAGAAAGGATGTTTTACTAGCTGGCATGAAAACAACATTCATCTTCTCGTACATCTCGATCAAAGTTCTTGGCTGAACAGGTGCATTGTCAATGAGCATTAATATTTTGAAAGGAATCTTTTTTTCTGAGTAGTAGTTCTCAACAGTAGGCTTAAAATATTCAGAAGACCATGTTGTAAACAGATATGCTGTCACCCAGGCCTTTTTGTCTCATCTATAAGGCACAAGTAAAGTCAATTTAGCATAATTCTTGAGGGCCCTAGAATTTTCATAATGGTAAATGAAAATTGGCTTCAACTTAAGGTCGCTGGGTGCATTCGCCCCTAATAAGCCTGTCCTTTGAAGCTTTGAAGTCAGGCTTTGATTTTTCTCTGGCTAGAAAAGTCTTAGATGGCATCTTCCAATAGAAGGCTATTAAGTCTACATTGATAAACTGCTGATTATTGTAGCCACCTCCATCTACCTTAGCTAGATCTTCTGGATAACGTGTTACAGCTTCTCCATCAGCACTCGCTTCTTCATCTTGTACTTCTATGTTATGCTTCTTTTCTTAAACTTTGTTTAAGAAACCAAACTCTGCTAGCTTCAAACTTTTCTACAGTTTCCTTACCTCTCTCAACCTTGAGTTAGGGCCTTGCTCCGGATTAGGCTTTGGCTTAAAGGAATGTTGGGGCTGGTTTGATCCTCTATGCAGACCACTAAAACTTTCTCCATATCAGGAAAAAGACTGTTTCACTTTCTTATCATTCAGGTATGCACTAGAATAGCACTTTTAATTTCCTTCAAGAATTTTTTGTTTGCATTCACAATTTGGCTAACTGTTTGGCACAAGATGCCTAACTTTGGCTTATCTGGATTTCTGACATGCCTTCCTCACTAAGTTCATCATTTCTAGCTTTTGATTTGAAGTGAGAGACGTATGACTCTTCCTTTCACTTGAACACATAGAGGCCATTATAAGGATATTAATTGGCCGAATTTCAATATTGTTGTGTCTCAGGGAATAGGGAGGACCAGCAGAGGGAGGGAGGTGGGGAACAGCTGGTAGGTGGAGCACTCAGAATACACACAACATTTATAGATTAATGGGCATGGTCTGTGGCACCCTAAAACAATTACAATTGTAACATCAAAGATCAATGATCACAGATCACCATACCAGGTACAATAAAAATGAAAAAGCTTAAAATATTATGAGAATGCCCAAAACGTGACACAGAGACATGAAGTGAGCACATACTGCTGGAAAAATTGCACTAATAGACTTGTTCAACACAGGGTTGCCAAAAACCTTCAATTTGTAAAATAAACAAACAAACAAAAAACACATTTTCTGTGAACTGCAATAAAACAAAGCACAATAAAATGAGGAAAGCCAGTGGTCATCTTCCTCCAAAACCCATTTTTCCATCAGTTGTATCTATTTATGAGAACGACATCATCTACTTAATCTAGAAATAACAACCAATTTGATTCTTGTTCTTCCTTCCCCACATCCAATTGATTGTACTCGCTGTTTTTCCCATCTCATGGCAACATGGTTGCCTTTCTGTCAATGTAGTTCAAGCTATCATTGCCAGTAGCTTAGAGTATTGTCACAGCCACTCCAATTGCCAATTCCATCGTTGGTTTCCACTGGTACTTTCACTCCAATTTATTTTTGATACTTACACACAAAGGAATTTCTGCAGATAATAATAGACAACATTAATTCCCTATCATATGCCCGCACTATACTAGGTCGCTTCCTGTCTCTTTTAATAGGCACAGCCACATGATAAAGTCAGAACTTTTTTTTTTTTTTTTTACAGATGAGGCAACAAAAGGTTGGGGAAGTAAAGACATACCTAAGGTCACAGAGATAGCTCAGAAGTGACAACACCAGGAATTCCAAGGTTTATCTGGTTTCTAAAAACCCTGTTTGTTTTTGTTTGCTTCTTTGCACTAGCCTGTTGCAATCTTTAATGCCTATTCCTATCCATCTGCCTTTTCCTTCTCTCCCTCTTCCAACCCATATTCTTCTTTTGGTTTACTATTTCTTTAAAGATTACTGTTAGTCATTTCAAGGAAGTCTGTCACAGCAGGCTCCTCTTCTCCACCGTGTCACACCCTGCCTGAGCCCTCTTTCTCCCACTTTCTCCTTCCCAGCTGCTATGAGAGCTGGAGAAAGAAATGAATAAGACAGGATGACTCCAACCTCTGCAGATGCAGATACACAAAACTCCAAACTCCCTGCATCAAGCCAAGATCGCGCTACGGCACTCCAGCCTGGGCGACAGAGCAAGACCCCGTCTCAAAAACCAAAACAAAACAAAAAAACAAAAAAAACCCTCCCTGCATCTTTAGCTTTTCTCTGACTAACTCTCAGGGTTGCGCTTATGATTCTTTATAATGAACCAATCAAGTACCACAGTGCTTTGTAAAGAGAGCATAAAGCCCCTGCACGTGTAAGGTGCAACTAACTACCACCTTCCTTTTTACATGCTCAGGGCTTCAACTGAGATATTCTGTAGCAAAATACCCTGTGTGCGTCCAAGCAAGAATGGCACATCTGTGTTCAAGATAAAGGAGAATAGAAGCCCTAAATAATAGAGAGTTGGCCGGAAAAATCTCTACTTAACATTACTGCCAGAGTCCAGCTTAAAACTTCATTGGGGTTGTGATAAGAGCGATAAAGACAGGAAGAAACTGGATTACCTAAAAATCTCACTTTAAAAATCTCTCTAGTAGGGTTCCCCCTCCCCCCAGGCCCTGAAGTTTTAAGTTTTTGCAAACATCCTCCCTTGTCCTGCCCAGGTCTTGTCCTTCTAGTCTGGGCCTTCCCATTGCCTGGGGGTCCCCGCCTCCGCCCAGCCGACCGGCGCCGTGGCACAACTCCCGGCGTGCCGCGCGGCGTCCGGCGGTGCACCGGCTTGCGGCCTGCGGCGCCGACTCGCGCGGGCAAACCTCCCAGCTCCGGCCCATGCGGCGAGGTAAGTAAGCCGCGCTGTGCGGCCAGGGCGGGAAGGCGCCCGCCCTCTCCTCTCTCCAGGATGGCAGGAAACGAAGAATGCCGCAATGAAAACCGCCTCGAACCCTCCCTCCATCTTGGCAGTGTTCGGTGCCCTGCAGCTCGTTGCACCCACGGAGTGGCCTCACCCGTGAGCGAACTGGGGGCAGAAGCTGCCCTGCCCCACGAGAGCCGCGGGCTCGCCTGGGGCTGCTGGCAGTGCTCCGGGAGCGGGACGCGGGTGGTGGCACGACTCGGCGTCCCCCGCCAAGCCCACACCTCACACCCTCCACTTTCCAAAGACCGGCTTTCCCGGGGAACCCCCACACTAAAACGCCAGCGAACCGTCTCTCCGTGAAAGTCTAGCAGAAACTTTTCCCGCTCTGTCCCCAGTGCCACAGAAGAGTCGTGTGGCTCAGCGGCCCCGGCGCTGCTCGGTCCAAGCGAGGCCAATTCGGCGCTCTTCTGCCCCTACCCGTCCCCCTCTCCGGGCAATTCCAACATTGCGCCTGAGACGCCATTCCCGGCGCGGTGAGTCGGCCCTGCCCTCGGGCGACTTCAGGCTGGACCGCACCTGGGGTCGGACCCGGAGGCAGGGCCGGCGCCTCCTTGGGACCGCGTCTGGCCCCTAGCGAGTCCTTTCTGCCGGGGAGGATGCTTGATCTAGAAAAACGAACAGCCAATCAAAGTCAACAGTTCCCGCCATTACTAACCGCCTCCCCTCTCCTATCTGAAGCCCGTGTCCCAAAGTGGGGGTCGAAAAAGTTCGTGCAAGAATACTGACCCAAAGTATTTCAGCATATAAACGTGTGCGATTTCAGGATCTCCAAAGTTATTTCAGCTAATCCAATTAATGTGCCTGGATCGAAGGCTCTTGTTTGTTGCCTCTCCCCTCACCCCACACACACATACACACCTACATACGTACCCACCCACACACAAAGTACACCACATAGACACAATTACACATACTTTATGCTACACACCGACACACACAACCTTTTTACACAGGAGGATTGATTCAAACATTTGTTGGAGGGAGTGTTAATACTAGTGGTGTGTAGTATATGTATATTTAATTCCACAAGTGTCAGTTTACGACCAAAGTTAGAAAAAACTAGCTGCGTAGTGAAACTCCCCTGTTGTGCCATATTTAGAGTGCTCTTATGGGTGGCTCACTTTTATACCACGGATTAACTCCTACAAGACACTTTCTGAAAACTTTACTGTGTGTAACAGGCAAACCTTTGATCACACAGGCCAGATGGAGGGGATTCCCTTTGTAAAGTGTAGGAAGAGTGCTCTGGAAATAACACAACAGAATCCTTTCTCCTGCGGCGTGTTGGAGAGCTGGTGTAACCACAGTCTCTGCCTTTCCCCTCAAGAGTGGCAGAGCTGAACATGCTTGTTCTGAGCAGGCACTGCAGGACAACCCCCACGCTTCCCAGGACACAGAACACCTCCCAGTCAACCGCTTTCAACAATTGGGATTACTGGGAGGAGTATACGCTTCAGGTTTCAGATCAATCCAAAACCGCATTATGAGACTGTTAGGAAAGAAGCCTTTATCTCGGTAAAGAGTCCGTCATTGTTGAGATCAGCAACTGGTGAAGATCCACATGCCTGACCCGTCGCTCAAAACATAGTGCTCAAAAATATTTAATTGGCCTAGATTCACTATTGTTTGCCTTTTCAAGGGGGCGAGCCAAATGGCAAATATTGAATCTTTCTCGCAGTGATCTTAAGAAGTGAAAATTTCTAATATAGTATTCCGTGGATAAGTAAAGGGCACCAATTTTGACCTTCTGAAATTCGGGTTCCAATTAGATCAAAGTGACTTCCTAATCCTAAAACAAACGTATTTTTAAAAAGGGACAGGCAGGCACTTCTCTCCTCGGATTCTACCTGAATTCTACGGATATTACCGCAAACAGATAACTTTTCCACGATCTTCTCTGGGAAACCTTGTGTTCTGTGATCCTGCTTTTGATGTTTGTTGCCATCTTGACCTACAACAGTACAAACCGATTGACGTTTATTTCAATGAAGAGGCAGACCATGTATGGTTTCTCTGTGTAGCAGAACATTTATGGGACGAGATATCCCCTGGAAAGGTTAAGCCAAGCACGAAACGGTGAGAATGACCCAGGGCGTAACTAAACAAAAGATCTTGCCCAGCCTCGTCTGCCCACCTCCCAGTTTGCGATTGGTATTAATGATGCGGGCAAGAGACTATGAATTTTGGGTGGGCATAATGTTTTTCACTCAAAAATATGCCAGGGACTAATATAGTGGGACGGCGGGTACTCATAGATGGTAAGTGTGGTGACATGTCTTCCGAATTCATGCTTTTTGTGCACTGGCGATAGAAACACGTTAAAATTTAAAACTCCCCAGAACTAATTGGTTCCTCATTTTGTAGAATCAAGGTTTTGTTTGTTTCATCTGAATTTTGTGCTGCGGCTTCATTTGGCGCAGGATAGGAGCGCGGAGGAATAACAAGAAGGGTGGCAGTTTTTCAGAATTGCTGGTCGATCATCGTTTGCATCCTCTCTGAAATAGGTACTTCCTGCATAATGAAGT